CCAGGTCGGTCCTCCCCCTCTGTCGTCCTGTTCCCGGCTCTCAGGGTCCCAGTGTGGACACCCCGGGGTGGGTGTCGAAGTCGGCGACGTCTGGCTCCGCAGAGCCAGCGGCGACGGGGACCTCGCCCAGGGACGTCGCGAGGGCAGCCCTACTGGGGTCCTCCAGCCTGGGCTCTCCACAAAGGGACCCGCTTGTCCCACCCGACCCCGCTGTGGGACCTGCCGGCGGCGGGCTGCCTTGCAGCTGGGAGGACCGCACGGAGCATTAAACACACATATTTACATGTTTAATTGTCAAAGAAGCTTCCCTTCCGGGAAGGGCGCGGAGGGCGCTCCGGTGGTCTAACCCAGGGCCCGGGCCGCGTGGGGTTCGGGGTCGCGCTCAGCCGCGGGCCCCGCGGCGGGGGCGGCGATTGGGCCCCTCAGGAGCGCGGCGCCCAACGCGGGTTTCGTTGCGCCCGGGAAGCCGGCGGCCTGCAGAGCGGGAGCCGCGCCGCCAGCCCAGCTCGGGCTGGGGCGTCCTGGGCCCGGTCCCCCGGGCCGGCCGTTCCCTCCCCCGCCCTCCCTGGAGGCTGCAGCCCACGCCTACCCCCACCCCATTTTCTGGGACTGCAAAGTCCCGCACCAACGCGCAGTTTTCTCAGGAGCGCATGTTGGGGGGATAATGATTTCAATGCAGCTCAGAGAGGAAGGGTCCAGGCCTGAAGGAGGGGGAGCGTTCCTGTCCCCAGACACATCTGGCTGCGCCTCAGACCCCCCAGCCTCCGACCTGCACCTCCAGGCCACGCGCAGAGGAAGCGAAAGCAGGCGCGGGGCGGGAGCAGAGCGGCCAGACCTCGGGCCTGAGCGCAGACCCCTGAACTCCCCTGGGATCCCCTCGGATCCCAGAGTGTTACTTTATAGATGGAGAAACTGAGGCGCGGCTAGGGTGCCTGGGCGTCCCCTGCACCTGCCCCAGCCCCGAGCGCTGGGGACCGGGGAGATGACATTTCCGCTTCTAATTGTCCCTCGGACTGAACCCTGGGGCCGACCGAGCCGAGCTGCTGAGAGAGAGGGACGAGGACGCGGGGCCCCAGGGACCCCAGACCAGCCCCCGGCCCGCCGCGCAGCCCAGCCCGGGGCCCCTGCGCAAACAAGCGGCGTGTTTGCCGAGCGCGCGGCGGGCGGCGCGGCCCGAGAGCGATGAGGATTCGATGGAGCCGCGCGCCCCGGCAGGGGCGACGGAGCCGCAGCGGGCGCGGGGATCGATCGGGCGCAGCTGTCGCCAAAGAGCCCGCGGGAGCATCCTACCCCGCGGACCAGCGCTGCCCGGGCGCCCCGAGACCGCGAGCAGGAAACCTGGGACATCGGGCCCGCCAGGGGCGAAGCCCCAACGTCGCGGCACCCCGGGTCTGGCGCCCAGGACGTCCCCGCGCCCAACGTCCGAGAGTTGGAACCTCGGGGCGCAGCGCACTTAGCCCTGCCCGGACCCCAGCCAGGCCGGAAAAGCCCGGTCCCTCCTTGTCAAAACCTAAATAAAGTCCCCGGACCCCGCCCGAACGAAGGCGGCTGGAGTCCGGCGGGAGGACGCGGGCCGCAGCAGGCGCGCGCGGCCCGGATTTGGGGCGTCCGCAGGTTTGGGGGCTCGGGTGGGGCCTGTGCGGACCTAAGGCTCGGGCGGGGCGGGAGGGGGCCCGAATCGCCATCACTTATTCAAACCTCGCTCTAAGAAAAGGGGGAGGAGTGCGCAGCGGCCGGCGGCTTTCATTTCCGTGGGAGACAAATCGAATTAGACAATCCGCTGCCGCCCTGGCGGGGCTTGGGGGAGGCCCCGGAAAGGGAAACTTTGGGTCTGTATGCCCCTCAATATTTTTAGCTGCGACAGGAGAGTCCAGAACAGCAGGGAGGGCAGCAGGGCCAAGAAGGCGGCTGGAAGATACAGATTAAAGCATGCTGGGGTTTGGGGGGTGGCTTTTGCAGGGTGAAACCTGTTTGGCCCCCAGGGCCTGGAGGAAGCCCAAGCCCCAGCCAGTCTCCCCCTACTCGCCCGACTCTCCAAGCCCTCGGGTTATCGGGCAGAGGCTGTGCGGAGGCTGGGCACAGAGAGGGTACGTGTTGGCCCCGGGCAGCCCAGCACCTGCTTAGGTACCCTAAGTCTCAGGCGCCAGCTCTGGAAGTCAAATTCCAATCTTCCTGGATGGGAAACTGAGGCTAGAGAGCCTGGGATATAGCTCAGGTCCCAGAGGGGCAGGGATGAGGGGTGCCCAGTCGCCATCCGACCAACCCCTCCCCTGCTTACAATTTGCCTAATGACTCAAATCGATCAAGGTACGAGACTCCAGCCTGTCCCGAGGCCAGCTCGATTCTATTTTACTAATTAATAAAAGGCCGCTGGTGGGGGTTGGGGGGGAGACTGGGGCTTGGGCCCCAGGGGGCCATGCTTCCTCTCTGGGACCCTGCAAATTTCTGCTCCACCTCCCAGTAGGAGCTCAGCCTGTGCAAGAAGGGAGATCCCCGTCCCTGGGGGAGTCCAAGTCCCCATCAGCCTCAGGGAAGGGGAGGCTACACGCACATGCACAAGTTTGGTTCCACCAGGCCAGGCCGCCCCTTCTGAGTCGTGGGAGCTTGGAAGCGGGTCTTAGGGAGTCCTGAGGCAGCAGAGGGGAGGGACCCCTTCCCCTCAAAGCCGCAGATTCACCTCTTTTCTTTCAAAATGGACACTTACCCTGTGAGAAAAGCCACACATGCTTGTTGTAAAAATGAGAATGAGAATTGAAGTGTAGGAGATATTTTTGAAAAGGAAGCCCATATACTCCCAACCCCCTGCCCCCACCCGTGAAGCCCCCCCCAGGTTGGCATTTGGGGGAACTTGCTTCTCCCTTGTGTTTTCCCACCGTGGAGCCCCCAGCTCCGCCGGCCAGGATGCTACCGTTTATGGCGGCTGATTGATCGTTAGATCACGCGATTATTTTTAATTATCTGTGATTGTTGGAGGGTAGGATCGAGGAGCCAGGCTGGGGCTCAGCACAGCCCGACTGGGAATCTGCCCCAGGGGTGGAGGATGCTCAGCTGTTGGGACCTGCCCCCCCTGCTTGTCTTCCCACCTGGAAGATGGGTGTGATCTCCTAAACTACCCTGCAACTGAGACGTCCAAGGACCTGGACTTGGGGGCATGCAGCACTTGGACAGACGTGGGAAGGGGCAGCCCTGCCACCACCCACCACCTCGGCCCACCGTGGGTCTGAGGTCGTTGGAGACCCGTGGTGCGACTCCCCTCTCTGCGGCTGAGTGAGGAGAGTGTGTCTGGTAAACAGTAGGCACTTCCTCAATGCACTAACAGGGGTCCCTTTAACCCTATCCCACCCCAGGACTTGGAGACCTGATCTCTCCAGCCTCCAGCCACCCCACTCCCCGCACCCTCCCGCTGTGGCCAGCATAGACCCGCCTCTAGCCTTCAGCTGGGGCAGGCTGGAAGGCACCTCTCCTACATGACAGAAGGGGAAACTGAGATACAGAAAAAGCCCTGGTACAGGGCCAAGCCCAGTCATGGTCCAGGAAGTCACATCTCCAATGAGTGACCATGTCTGGGGGGACCCCCGAGATCAGGTCGAAGGTCTGAAGCCCATCACGTCGAAGGTCTGAGGCCCGAGGAGGATGGGGACAGGGGCTGCCCAGAGCGTTTGCACATTCTGGGGAGGGACCCTCCACCCTCAGCTTACAGTCTTGACTCTCCCCAGTGAGATGGGGGGCTGGGGACCCCAGAAGAAAGCCCTATTAACTCTACCCTCTTTCCTCTTCTAGAAAATAGGTGGGGTGGGGGAGAATACATAGTGGGGAAAGAGGAGGGGGCTGGGCTGAGTCTCCGCCCCCCCCACACTCCGTCCCCAAGATAGGGGTACCTTATAGGTTCTGGCCTGGCCACTCCGGAGCCCCTTCCCTGATCCCCATCTTACTCCCCTGGAGGGATCTCATGCCCTGGGGGTCTCTCTGATTATAGGAGCCCCCATTTATCCCATTCCCTGGGCCTCCCCTGTCTCCAGGTGGTGAGGAGAAGGGGCGCTTGGCTCCTTCGCCCAAAGGAGACACCCCAGGCACAAAGAGGAGTTAGCAGCAGGGACTTCTCAGGAAACAGACCGGAGGCGCCTCCTCAGCCTCCCCTGGCTGGAGGGTGACAGAGACGCTTCGAAAGTCACCCCCAGGCTCTGGGCACACTGTAGAAGGACCCCGGAATCGGAAGGGGCCTTTGGCACCCCATGAAGCCAGGCACCCCGTTGTACAGTTGGGGAAACTGAGGCCTGGTGCCCACACATGGGGCAGATCCTGACGCCTGCACGGAGTGGAGGCGAGGAACCAGCCCACTTGGCCCCAGAGAGGTCGTATGAGGGGGCTGTGACTCCCGATGATGACATGTGCGTCCACAGGGAGCTGAGCGTGCAGAGGGCACCCACCTGGGGTTTGTTTCAGTGGAGGGGACACATGGATTGCAGGCGTCCCTTCAGCCACACTCCCAGGGACTCCCTGGAGATGGACTTGACTGGGGGCACCAGGTAGGAAAGTGACATTTGGGACTCTCTGGAGAGAACCGCAGAGAGAGACATGAAATCAGAGACGCGGAGATCAGGCCCCCAGCCCCACCTAGGCGGAATCTGTCCTCAGACCCCCACCGGTTGTCCCCCCAGGGGGCGCAGGCGGGGGCAGAAGCGGGGGACCACCGAAGCCAGAGTCTGGTCCACTCTGGCCTGCCTGGCGCTCGAGGGGGCCAGGGCGGGCGGAGAGCGAGGCGGCGGGAGGTGGCGGCGGGAGCGGGTGGGCGGGGGCGCTGACGTCAGACCCGGGCCCGGGCGCCGGCGGCCGCTCCCCCGCCACATCCTGGTGGCCGCTCTCGCAGCCGGGCCGGGCCGAGCGCCGCGCAGCCGGGCAACCTCGCGCGCAGCCACCGGGGAGCGGGCGGGAGCCATGCGGCGGCCTTGAGCGCGCCGGGCCGGCGCCGAGGAGCGCGCGCGGCTGGCGGGCGACGGAGCATGGAGCTGAGCCTGGAGAGCCTGGGGGGCCTGCACGGCGTGGCCCACGCGCAGGCGGGCGAGCTGCTGAGCCCCGGCCACGCGCGCTCGGCGGCAGCGCAGCACCGCGGCCTGGTGGCGCCTGGGCGCCCGGGCCTGGTGGCCGGCATGGCGAGCCTACTGGACGGCGGCGGCGGCAGCGGCGGGGGCTCCGGGGGCGCGGGCGCCGCGGGCAGCGCGGGCGGCGGTGCCGACTTCCGCGGGGAGCTGGGGGGCCCGCTGCACCCGGCCATGGGCATGGCCTGCGAGGCGCCCGGCCTGGGCGGCACCTACACGACGCTCACGCCCTTGCAGCACCTGCCGCCGCTAGCGGCAGTGGCCGACAAGTTCCACCAGCATGCGGCGGCCGCGGCTGTGGCCGGAGCGCACGGCGGCCACCCCCACGCGCACCCGCACCCGGCGGCCGCGCCACCCCCGCCGCCCCCACCGCAGCGCCTGGCGGCCAGCGTGAGCGGCAGCTTCACTCTGATGCGCGACGAGCGCGCTGCACTTGCCTCCGTGGGCCACCTCTACGGGCCCTACGGCAAGGAGCTGCCCACCATGGGGTCGCCGCTGTCGCCGCTGCCCAACGCGCTGCCACCGGCGCTGCACGGTGCCCCGCAGCCCCCGCCGCCCCCGCCGCCCCCGCCGTTGGCAGCCTACGGTGCGCCAGGCCACCTGGCTGGGGACAAGCTGCTGCCGCCCGCCGCCTTCGAGCCGCACGCCGCGCTGCTGGGACGCGCCGAGGACGCGCTGGCCCGCGGGCTGCCCGGAGGTGGCGGTGGCGCAGCACGCGCCGGACGCCGGCGGCGAGCGCCGCCGGCGGCTCGCCGCGCCTGCGCACGCTGGCACGCCGGGCGGCGCACGGGCAGCACGCGGGAGGTGGCGGCCCCGGCGGGGGCGGCGGCGGCCCCAGCGCGGGCGCTGCGGCCGAGGAGATCAACACCAAGGAGGTGGCGCAGCGCATCACGGCGGAGCTGAAGCGCTACAGCATCCCTCAGGCCATCTTCGCACAGCGCATCCTGTGCCGCTCGCAGGGCACGCTCTCCGACCTGCTGCGCAACCCCAAGCCGTGGAGCAAGCTCAAGTCCGGACGGGAGACCTTCCGCAGGATGTGGAAGTGGCTGCAGGAGCCCGAGTTCCAGCGCATGTCTGCGCTGCGCCTCGCAGGTAGGAGCGCGGTTCGCATCGCCCGACCTCGGGGGCGGCGGCCCGGGGCTCCCCAGCACCGACCGTGGGCCCCGCCAGCCTGAGACCCCCTCGCAGGAGGCCAGACTGTGATCCGCGCCCCTGCCCGTTTGTACCGTCGCCAAAAGGGAGAAAGGGATGGTGCGGTCTCCCCGCCCCGCCCCCCACCCGGTCGCCTCCTCTGCCCTTTTTGAGGGGTTCGCTAGTTCCGACTAGACCGTGGGGAGGGTCCAGGCATCTCCCTGAAACGGCGCTCAGGGTAGCTCATTGTGTGTGTGCGTGTGTGTGTGTGTGTACGCGCGCGTTGGGGGGCTCTGTCCTCAAACAGCCGCTGTTGTCAACTTGGGGTGCCACTCCCTTCCTCCGGAAGGGCCCTGGAGGGGGCCGCTGAACCTCCAGCCCGGTGCCACAGGGCTCCGGGACTGTGCACCGGGTGCCCGCGCCACTGCAGCAAAGGCCGGGCCCGCGCTCAGCCCCCGGCCCAGCGCGCGCTTCTTTGTAGCTGGGCCTCTGCGATCGATACCCCCTCCCCCGCTCCGGCCGCGGCAAAGGTCACCCGAGAATGGTCGGGGGAGGGGCGGCCCGCGGGACCCTCGGCCCGGGCTGCCCGGAGGCCTTCACACCCGACGACTTCGCTCCTGCCTCCGGGGCGCGCGCCCAGCCTGCCTTGCCTTTTGGTTTTGTGTCTCTGGTTTCTACTTCTCTCCTCGCTCTATCGGGACAAACGGGGCTCTGTTTATTTGTCGCTTGCTCTCCGTTTTCCTCCTGTTCCTCCCCACGCTTTCTCTCGCTTCCTGTCTCTCTGCCTCCGCGTCTCTCTGTCTCTCTTGCTCTCACACTCAGCCACCAGCCCCCTGGGGACCCGCTCCCTCCTCCTTCTCAGCTGACGACAGCGAAGTCCACACCTGCCCCCAGCGAGGCAGCCCGGCCAGGCCCCCACTTCCTGGAGGCTGGTGTGGGGGTACAGGGGAACCCCTGGCCCAGGTGGGGGTCTCTTTCCCTGGCGGTGCTGGGAGGGGCTGCCCACCCCCGTCGCGGGGACAATAGCTGCTGTGGCTGGCGCCAGATCGATCGCTTCTCTGAGCACAGGGGGCGAGAAGGGCGGGGGCAGGCGGGGGCTCTAGGAGGTGCCCCGCTAACGAGGAGGTTGGGGGGGCTTCCCCAGCCAGGCAGGGAGCTGTGGAAGAGGGGGTGCAAGTTTGGGATTGGAGAGGGTCCTGTATCATTCTTCCCCAGCCAGCCTCTCCCTCCCCCCACCCCAGGTGGACCAGGCAACCTCCAGGAGCCTGTACCCACAGGCAGGCCTCAGTTTCCCCCTTCTGCACAGTAAGGTGATTAGCTGGAACCTCTTATGAGATTCTTAAGTTCTCCACTTTGGGGCAGGTCACCAAGTGCCCCGGGAGGTTGTTGCGACACGTTAGAAAGGGCTACCAGAACCTGGACAGTCTCAAGGGCAGAATCCACTCTGTCCTGCTCCCTGTGGGTGACATGCAATGGCACGCATGTTCCCGTGGACACTCAGTCATGACACACAGCCTCGGCCTGCAGTGTGCAGTCTGGCTGACCTCGGGGGTGGAGGGCACCCTGAGCACAGGCTAAAGGCACGGCTCTAACCTGCCAGATACTGTGGCTGTCCCCCACCCCATGGTGCTGGGTGGCTTATATAGGGGGACACCCACCACCTGCAGCCTCCTGTCCAGCGCACATATTTGGGGGACATTGTGTCCCCCACCAGTGCCCCCAGAATCCACACCACTCTCCATTTTTCTCACTGTCACCTTATGTGACTAGCATGACCCATGAGTGGTATTTGAATAGTCCATTTTGGGGGCGGCATCAAAGATCCAGAAAGATCTGCTTAAGCGTCACAGAATGAAAGACCGCAGGGGAGAGGAACCTGGGGGTGGGTGCCGCTGCGCAGTGACAAACCCTGAGTCTGAGTGTGCCTCTGCCCACCAGATGGCCACCCAGGCCTCAGTGTTCCCCTTCCTGCCACAGGTGCAATTACAGAGGGAAAACTAAGGCCGGGTTTGTGTTCCAGCGTTTCCCGCCTGACTTCTTGGCAATGGTGAACAGTTTCATCTCTCTGAGCCTCAGTTTCCCCTTTTAGGCAACAGGAATTAGAATAGCTGCCTTATCAGAGGAGCGTGGAGGACAGGGTGGGCGGGGAGGCAGTGAGGCTGGGCAGGGTGCTGCGGTGTTGGGGACAATAAACAGGGACCACCCGGCCTGTCCCCCAGCTCTGCCTGGTGGCTGCCCATGCCACAGCCCCTCCGACCGGCCTGGCAAACCCTCCCTGGCTGGCTCGGCCCCAGCCCTGGGCACCTGCCGCCTCTCTGGCACGCAGGGGCCACGTCTGCACCACGGACTCCGCCTGGGTTGTTGGAGGTGGCAGGCAGAGGGCTGCGGGGCGATTAGGCTCCGGCCACGGCCTTTAGTTCCGGTGGCTGCGCAAATGAAAAGCGGTTAAGTGGCGGCAAATCGCCACGGTTAGGGGGAGGCGGCAGGGGCGTCCCCACTCTCCAGCATGCGCCCTGCGCAGCGACAACCAAAACGCACTCTAGGAAAGAGAAATCTGTCCCCTCCCTCCGCACCGTTCAAACCGGCAGGGGGAGGACTCGCTGCCCTTCCTCCGCCTGCATCCCATCCAGGTCTCCTCTGACAACTTTAGGAGGAGTGTGTCGTGGGTGCCCGCCGCCATGGCCTCTCCCCTCCCTGGGGAGCTGTGGGCTGTCCCCAGTGGCGCCGGGGCCAGGAGAGAGAAAGCGACACGGAGGGGAGAAGACGCGGGTGTACAGCTGGACAGAGAGGGGAGGGGCAGAGGCGGAGAGAGACAGGGACAGACGGACAGAGACAGAGAACACGGCGGACACAGAGACAGAGAACACGGTGGAGACAGAGACAGAGAACACGGTGGAGACAGAGACAGAAAAAGGAGGGGGGAAGAAACCAAAGCCACTGAAAGGAACAGAGAAGAAAGACAAAAAGACAGGGGGAGAGACAAAGAGAAACAAAGAAAAGGAGAGACAGGAGGGGAGAGAGCTGGGTGGCTGGAAGACCCCTCTGTCCTCAGGCCTGGTGGGCCTCTGTCCCCTCCGGGGTGGAAGTGCAGTCTCCTTCCTCCCTCCTGGATCAGGGGGCAGGGTGGGGGAGAGAGGGGAATGGATGGTTTCTTTGTTTCACCAAGGCACCCAAGAAACCCCACAACAGACCTCAGAGTCCAGGGCCACACTTCCTGGCCTGTGTGCCTCAGTTTACCCATCTGTAACGTGTGTGTGTGTGTGTGTGTGTGTGTGTAGCCATGTTCTGCATGTGACACTCTTGGGCCTCTTTAGGCCAACCCAAGCCCCCAACCTGGCTCCCATGGGGTGGGGCCTCACCTCACACCCACCCCAGGGTCCCCAGAGGAGGCCGGAAGGGTGGGAGCAGCCTCCTCCTCAAAGCCCTCCCCTCCCAACAGTAATTATGGGAGAGGGCTTGGGGGAGGGGCAGGCAGGCTCCTGGGGGGGTGGGGGCGGTCGATGAATTCGAATTACCGTCTCTAATTCATCACCGTCGCCTGGTCGATAGCTTTGGCCGTCTTCAAATATCGTTTAAATTGCAACTCCGGAGGAAAAGTATTTTTTTGTTACTGATCAGAAAAAAAAATGTGCGTATATATACATAAAATAAAATTTTAGACAGAGGTGGGGGAAAGAAGGGCCAGTTCCCTCCTGTTGGTGTCATGGGAAGGCAGGAGCCCAGAATCCCTGGGGGGGGGTGGAGACGAGTGGGGGAAACTGAGGCAGGGAGGGACAGGGACGGATGGGATGCTCTATTCCTACACAGAACACATTGTCCTAAGGACAAAATCCAGAGCTCTTTTTGGTGTCCCATGCTGGTAGCGCCACTGGGTGGGTAACAGCGTGGCTCTGTTGGCAGTGGGCGAACAGGGGTCGCCAGGGGTTGGGGGGTCTGGGGTGATGGGGTGGAAAGACTAAAGAGGCGGAACAGCCTCCCCCCAGGCTAATACAGCCCTGCCCGCCCCCACTGCCTTGCCCCACTGAGCTGCCACCTTCCAGGACACGTGGAATGGGGGTGCGGGAGGGGGAGGGGGGCTGAGGCTGCAGAGACTCAGCCCGCAAGGCCCAACCTGGGAGTCTCCCCCCCAGGGACACTGTCCACGCTGTGCAAGCACTCAGGACCCCCACTCTTAGAGAAGTAGCCACACCTCCCACCGCACGGGGTTCCACGCCTCTTACAGACACCCCAGGAAGAGATGTCCCAGCCCCACCAGACAGTGGGACAACAGGGGGCTTGGGGACCTGGGCCTCACCTGGGCTCCGTCTCTCACTGGTGCTGGGCAAAAGGGTCTGAGCCTCAGTTTCCTCATCTGAGCAATGGGCAGAATTAAATGACACCAAGGAGAGAGGGCAGGAGTCTGGGGGTACACCGTAGGCCCCCACAGGGATGCACAGAGGAGGGTAGACTACATCCAGGGTTGCTCGATGCCCAAGGTGACTCCGGGTGTCCCCAAACCAACCCCTCCCTGTAGACCTCAAGAGCTGAGTAGGGACAGCCCCAGGACCCGCTGGCCAGGATCTGGGATCCCGCCCCTGCCTCGCAGGCAGATGGGAGGGAGAGGAGAGCATGCTATGAGGTGGGGAGGGGCCGGCTGGAGGTGACGAGCCCTCCCCCTCCTCCCTGCTCAGCTCACCCACCAGGCATGAGAGATGGAATCATCTGCAATGACCTTTCAAACCAGATGCAGTCGCTGCCCATTCTACAGACCAGCAAACTGAGTGAGGCAGAGAGAAAGGCGCTGGCCAAAGCCGCACTCCGTTTGCGCAGCGGCAGCGCGGAGCAGGGTTCCAGCGGGAGGGAGCACTGCAGGGACAGGGGCGGGGAGTCAGGGAGGCTCAGCTAGTTAAGGCCAGGACTGCAGAGGAGGGGGGGCAGAAGGTCACAGCACTTTCTAGTGGACAAGCAGCTTGGGTGATCCC